AACTCAAGAATGGAAAATGGAATGTTGGTGGGCAGGAAAAAAGATTGAAAGATGGGCTCAAAGCCAACCTTGAAAACTCTGGCATAGGTAATGAGAACTTGGACGTCCTGTGACAGCAACCACCGAGTTTCACAAGCAAAAGGTTGACAGTTTGATTCAGGACGATCGTCGTATCGCTCAGAGAGAAATTTCAAGCATAATCAGCATTTCACAAAAACATATGGGTCACATTATTGCTTTGCTTGGATACTGGAAGATCTGTGCACGATGGGTACCCAGGATGAGAGAACTGTGAGACGCTGGTTGCGGAAACAGTGTGTCGACTTTTTCGGTAACGGCTTCAGGAAACTTGTTCATTGTTGGTAGAAACGTTCAGAGAACTGTGAGACGCTGGTTGTGGAAGCAGAGTGTCAACTTCTTCCGCAACAGCTTCAGAAAACTTGTTCATCGTTGGTAGAAACATTGAGAGAACTGTGAGATGCTGGTTGTGGAAGCAGATGTTGACTTCTTCTGCGACGGCTTCAGAAAACTTGTTCATTGTTGGTAGAAACATTGAGAGAACTGTGAGACGCTGGTTGCGGAAGCAGAGTGTCAACTTCTTCCGCAACGGCTCCAGAAAACTTGTTCATCGTTAGTAGAAACGTTGAGAGAACTGTGAGATGCTGGTTGCGGAAGCAGAGTTTCAACTTCTTCCGCAACGGCTCCAGAAAACTTGTTCATTGTTGGTAGAAACATTGAGAGAACTGTGAGATGCTGGTTTCGGAAGCAGAATATCGACTTCTTCAGTGACGGCTTCAGGAAACTTGTTCATCTTTGGTAGAAACGTTGAGAGAACTGTGAGATGCTGGTTGCGGAAGCAGAGTGTCAACTTCTTCCGCAACGGCTCCAGAAAACTTGTTCATCGTTGGTAGAAACATTGAGAGAACTGTGAGATGCTGGTTTCGGAAGCAGAATATCGACTTCTTCGGTGACGGCTTCAGGAAACTTGTTCATCTTTGGTAGAAACGTTGAGAGAACTGTGAGATGCTGGTTGCGGAAACAGAGTGTCAACTTCTTCCGCAACGGCTCCAGAAAACTTGTTCATCATTGGTAGAAACGTTGAGAGAACTGTGAGATGCTGGTTGCGGAAGCAGAGTGTCGACTTGTTCCGCAACGGCTTCAGAAACCTTGTTCATTGTTGGTAGAAACGCTGAGAGAACTGTGAGATGCTGGTTGCCGAAGCAGAGTGTCAACTTCTTCTGCAACGGCTTCAGAAAACTTGTTCATCGTTGGCAGAAACGTTGAGAGAACTGTGCGACACTAGTTGCGGAAGCAGAGTGTCGACTTCTTGTGCAACGGCTTCAGATGAACGGCTTGTTCAACGATGAACGGCTTGTTCATCGTTGGCAGAAATGTATCCAATTGTCTGGTGGTTATGTGGGAAAGTGAATAGCACATTCTAAGGATTATTTCTGTGTTTGATTTATTAAAATATTCCCGTCCAAACCCAAGTAACGAAGGCGGAGGCATTCCACGTACAATGCAGCCTGAGCTCTGGGACACGCACAATGGAGGACCTTCTCACAGCGACACCAGAGGCACAACTTGCGGAAGAGTGTCCCTTCTGTGGCTTTCAAGAAGAAATCTGAAAATTGAACCCGACTTTTTCAAGGAAAGACACATAATGAAGAGACACGTTTTGATCGTCGGCAACTAATGGGGCCGGCGGGGAGCAGGGCATCCGAGCATGGCCAATCTTGCAGGATCCTTAATGAGAACAGAATGAGTTTGTCGATTCGAATCAATCCAGGGGGTAAAGCGAAGCCACGCAGGCCCAAAGGCACCAACGTGGCATCAGTTCTGTTTCTGTTTTTGCTCCTGTCTCTGATTCTCTTCCTGTTTTTCTCTGTCTAATTGAATAGACAGGGAAATGGAGAGACCGGGCTCAACAGATAACAGCCTTAATTGAAATGAAACTGAACAGATTTCATTCTGTGTTGGCAAGATTATTATTATTATTATTAATAATAATAATAATAATAATAATAATAATCTTTATTTATACCCCGCCACCATCTCCCGGAAGGGGACCCTGGCCGGCTAACATGAGGCCAAGCCCCAAAATAATACAGCAAAGTTAAATATTACATCTACGCAGATGACAATGCCCCTGAGAATGTGCAGAGTGCCATGTTTCCTCCAATTTAATATTAAAAGAGCTACTTGTAGCCTCCAGTGGTGCGGCGGGTTAAGTGCTGAGCTGCTGACTGAAAGGTCAGTGGTTCGAATCTGGGGAGCTGAGTGAGCTCCCGTTGTTAGCCCCAGCTTCTGCCAACCTAACAGTTTGTAAACATGCAAATGTGAGTAGATCAATAGGTAACTCGCCAGTGGGAAGGTGCTCTATGCAGTCAGTGGGAAGGTGCTCTATGCACATTACTTTGGAGGTGTCTATGGACAACGCCAGCTCTTTGGCTTGGATATGGAGCGGCGTGAGCTCCCGCTTTTAGCCCCAGCTTCTGCCAACCTAGCAGTTCATAAACATACAAATGTGAGTAGATCAATAGGTAACTCTCCCGTGGGAAGATAACGGCACTCTATGCAGTCATGCTGGCCACATGACCTTGGAGGTGTCTATGGACGACGCCAGCTCTTTGGCTTTTAGCCCCAGCTTCTGCCAACTTAGCAGTTCAAAAACATGCAAATGCGAGTAGATCAATAGGCAGTGGGAAGGTAACAGTGTTCCATGCAGTCATGCAGGCCACATGACTTTGGAGGTGTCTATGGACAACGCCAACTCTGTGGCTTAGAAATGGAGATGAGCATCAGAGTCCCAGAGT